ACCTGGCTTCCTTTAAATACCCCAGAAAGTCACACCTGCAAACAATCAGCCCCAATCATCAGTGCTCCAACATTAAACCCAAAAGGAAATAAACATCCACATAAATGCACCTAAGTGTTAACATATACAAAAGACAAAACTGTTTCCACAATACAAGAAACATTTTTACACCAAGACCAAAGAAACAAATCCCACTTCCTTTGGTTTGTCCAAATGAAGCAGCCAATCATAGGATGATCCAGGGAGGTAGTACTGGGTGGGCACAACCTACTCTGGATACAAAGCAAACAGGAAATCCCAAATGGTAACTGCATCAACATACCAACAAAACGTAATATATCCACAGCAGTGCAATATTCACATTCCAGTCTGGTTAAAATATCCCCATCACAGCGCCAGCAGGCTACAGAAGTAAATTACAGGGGCGAATGGGAAATCATCCATACCACTTCGTCACAATGTTATAAAATAGAATAGAATGAAAGAGAGGGTGTATTATGAAAAAAAGAATTGTGAATGTAAAAGCGGAAATATGGAAAACGTTAAATAAGGTCACTGGAAGGAAACCCAAGCTGTTACCAACATTCTTAGAAGTGGGTGATTCATTTCTGAGCAAACCTGTTGATATAGCAAATCATTTAAGTGATTATTTCAATAATAAGGTGCAAACATTAAAACATATGAATGTAGGGTTCAGAGGGGGTTTGACAGGTAAAATTATTAAAAATAAAATAATGGGTAATAAATCATGTTTATTTACATTAACCCTCTCAGGCTCGAAATAAGTTCTGATAAAAGGACGAACAACTAAGTCCTTCAGGGGTACTTCTGAGTTAAAAATGCTCATGAAATACATACGTGGAATAACCAAGTAGGTAGGTTTTAACGTTGCACATCTGCAATGTCTGCCTCCAGAGGGCTCAACTAGTAACAGTCGATATGGTGAATAAGTGTAAACGGAAAATGAAGGTAAGACCCACTGGGATTGATGAATTAGATGTAAAGCTATTGCAATTAGGGGGGCTGAGATTGCAATTCATGTGTGTCACATAATTAACTTGAGTTTGGAAGAATGGAAGGGCCCATGGAGATGGAAAATTTCAAAAACTGTTCCGCTTCTAAAAAATAATATTGAGCACTTTTCTGGAAAAAATAGCAGGCTGGTGAGTATTTTGCCAATTTTAGGGAAATTAATTGAAAAAAATATGTTTATGTTTATGTGCTTAGCAGACGCTTTTATCCAAAGCGACTTACAATTTTTTTTAACCTATAGGGCATGTTGTGATTTGTGGGGGAAACCGGAGTACCCGGAGGAAACCCACGCATGCATGGGGAGAACACGCAACTCCACGCAGAAAGGCTGCAGCCGAGTTTCGAACCTGCGTCCTTCGTGTTGCGAGGCAACAGTGCTAACCACTGCGCCACCATGCAGCCAAATATCCACAATAAACATTTCAAATAGAATTTTTGGACAGAATTTTATATGAATTAGAAAAAAAACCCTGCAATTTGCTCTTTAAAGTCAAGACTGCAATAATTTCACCAATTCTCAAGAAACCTGTCCTAACCACACATGATTTAAATAATTTCAGGCCTATCTCAAATCTCTCTTTTCTTTCTAAAAATCTTGAGAGACGGGTATAGCCTTACAACTTAGTCACCACCTAAGCAACAATGACCTATACAAACTTTTTCAGTCCGGGTACCGTAAAAATCATAGCAGCAAAACTACAATGGTGAAAATCACCAATGACCTTTTAACAGCATCTGACTCTGGTCGAATTAGTTTAATTCTTCTTGATTTATCAGCTGCATTTCATACCATTTCACATTCAATTCTTCTACAGCGTCTCTTCTCTATAGGAGTCTGTGGTGTCGCTTTATCTTGGTTCACCTCATATTTATCAAATCGTTCACACTGTTGAAATTAAGTTATCCAGCTCACGCTCCACATCTGTCTCCAGTGGGGTCCCACAAGGCTCTGTCCTGGGCCCTCTGTTGTTCATCATTTACATTCTCATCCAAAGGGTTCAAATGAAGGCAACTGAACTTCTTTGGTTTCTTGAAGACATTCCGCTTCTCATCCGAGGAGCTTTTTCAATTCTAACTGGAATATGGGGGAGTCAAGCTTATAAGCTGTAGCTGTCTGTTGTTGTTTAACTAGCAGAAACTACTCTGAGTACCCCTCCTCTCTACCCCCTGATGAGTCGTTGGTCTCTATTGAGAGGGAGACGTTGTGTTGATTGGATGCAGGAAAGTGTGACCTAGACTGAAACTGAATGAGATCCAAAGCTGCATTATTGGTACTGGAATGGTGAAATCTAAGCCCCGCCTCTATTTAAAGTGGGGTTTTCACGTTTTGACATAGATAGCTTCTTTTACTCCTCTCTCAATCCATCTATCTTCTCTGTCCAGAATGTGGACTTTGTCATCTTCAAAGGTGTGTCCCTTGTCCTTCAGGTGAAGGTGGACTGCAGAGTTTTGACCTGAAGAGGTGGCTCTCCTGTGTTGTGTTATGTTCTTGTGTAATTGTTGTTTAGTTTCCCTGATGTAAACATCTGGACAGACCTCTCCTACACTGGACTGCATAAACGACCCCACTGAGCTTCTGTTTGGGTGTTTAGTCTTCAGGATGGACCAGGTTCTGTCTGAGGGTGTTGTTGGGTTAAAGTTTACCGGGATGTTGTGTTTGGAGAAGATTCTTCTACGTTTCTCTGAGACTCCTGCCACGTATGTGATGACGGTGTTTTTGTGCCTGTTGTCCACTGAAACTAGCTGAGTGAGATAAAAATCTGGTTTCCTCACAATCCTTTAAAACTGAGATAACTGGACAATAGAGAGCTCGTCCCCTCAGGACCACCAATATCTGCTAAGTTTTTAGGCTGGTTAGTGTCTCCTAGTGAGAGTTCTCTTTGTTTTTCTTTATCAGTTCCTCTTTTAGAGTTTATCTCCACATCGAGGCCCTATCGATGCATTAACACTTAAATGCCTTTACTTGTGGCCCAGCAGCCTGGTACACCCCTGACCTTTTGAGTGGATGGACCCGGCTCGTGCTCGCAGAGGTCTTACTTGCGTGGGGAGCCAGACTGGACTACTCCGAGTTCGCCTGGTTCCTGGCTTACCTCTTGCTGGAATGGACCCAGTGGACTGTGCTGGCCAGGAGAAGTGTCTCCACACGATCCTGTCTCAGGGCCCCGCCGAACTGGCGGCAAGGGTATCGTAGAATTCTGATGCAGCAGATTCAGCTCCAGAGATGCTGCACGAGCCTTTTTGATCCCAGCCGGCTTCTGGATTTAGGGATAAAGGTTGAGCCTGAGCTAAGCTGAAGTTCCTCTTATGAGAAAGGAACTATCAGTTATGTAATTATCCGAGTAGTTTTGATAGATAAAAGGATTCGCAGGAGACGAGGTGTGTCTTTTGGGTTCTAATAAAACGACCCTTTTAATAAAGAAAGAAACTTTATCAGTAAAAACAGCCAAACGGCCAAAAGTGACACAGAACAACAAAGAAAATCCATTTAAAATACTTTTTTTGGTGAGTTTGGTTATTTTATGATTTTTTTGGTTAATAAGGCAAAACAAAAATCTTTCTACTTCTAGTTAAGCATTAAACATATGAGTTTATTAAATCAATAAATATAAACTGAAAGAAAATAGAATTAAAATGCAATTGGAAATCAAGCAATGAAAATGTTGGACATTAATGTCTCAAGGCTCAAAACATTTAAACATTAGTGTTTAAAGATTAACTCGAAGCGATGTTAAGCAATTAAGATGAATAAGTAAAATGCAATTGATGGAAGCTAACGCCTTTTAAGTACAATTATTGTCTGAATTTAAGCAAATTTGAACAATTTACATCCACTGCTGTTTGATGGAGGAAGTCTCCTGATGAGCCTTCAAGTGCTGCTAAATCTCTTATCTACCAGTTTTATCTGCCACTCTATTTAAATTAGGCGTCTGACCTATCATGCATTCATATACATGCGGATATGCATACAAATAAATGCATTACGTAAGGCGCTGATCCTTTATGCCGTCTTACTGCGGCCCGTCCACAACGCTCATTCAGATGAGATAAAAAATGAAGTCGCAGGCAAAGGAGCGTTCTTACTGAGGCTCTCTGGCTTCAGGTTACAGAAGACAAAATCAGCGAGAGCCTCGATCGTTCTTCGTCGGTCACTTTTATAGCAAAGTTCCCGCGCTTTTGGCTCATGAGGGGACGTCCTGCACCTCATGGTGACATCGTTGACCTTTCACTGAGTATGTGTGACCACACAAGCTGTGCTGTTATGTTCTTTAAGCTGCAACCACATCCCGACACCTAGGTAGTGAGATGCAGAGGTTTTCTTCTTCAGCATAGGTGTGTGACCACACTCTGGGTTAGGTGTAGATGTAGATGAAGTGAAGATGATGCTCATGCAGGTGCTGATCCTGTGGAAAACATTTTAAGGGCAGGTGTCGTCGCCCCCACTGCGGTTTTCAGGTGACAGCAGGGTGACGCACGTTTCATGTCTGCATCTTGCATGCTTCTGGCAGGTGGACCAGGGTTCAGCACCTGGTCCCATTGACATTGTATCTACTGTCTGACCATCGCAGTTTGCTGTACGCATCAAGAGGGCCAGGGGAGCGCTCCTCAGGCGGCCCTCGCCACAAAAACTAAACGGCAATAAGACAGAAATTCTTCTTGTCAGAACTAAATCAGATTTTCCCTCTTCCATTTGACAACAACATCCAATCTCCTTCCTCACAATTTTATTTATTTATTTATTTTCGTGTCCTGTCTGGCTGTGAAGCAAACAGAACTAATGTCTGAATGCTGGTGACAAGCCTTACAGATGCACTCTCAGGTGGAGCATCAAAGCAGAGCACCTGTGTGTGTACACGCGCTTGTATAGCAACCAGTCTGCTGGAACAGCTACAAACCTGCATCACAACACATCTTTCTATTTAAAAAGAAATGTTTAGTAACTAAAGTTGTTTATGTCTTTGTTTCCATAGGGACCACAGATGACCACACTTTGCTGTGGCTCCTGAATCAGATTCGTGTTGGAATCCCACAAGTCAGCATTCAGGTTCGACAGCATCAGCACTCCCAGGCCTACGCCTTCTTCATCACAACCACATTTGAGAAGTACGACTCAGATGCCTTTTCACTTGCATAACTTGTGTTAAAGGACTTGGTTTCCTCATGTTTGAACTTAAAGAGCGAGTCACCCCAGATCAACCTTTTCTGCTGTTAAACTGTGTGAGCGAGTGCCCAATATTGCTGTACACACATGCAGTCATTATTTAGGCATTTGAGTTAATCTTGTTTAAAATATAAGCATTCTGTCTAAGAATGTGAGTGTGGCGCCCCCCTCAGGTTAACAGATGGCACTACACTTACATTTGACTCGTCCTTGCACATTGGCTAAGTGGTGATATCTGATGTTAGCCAGAACGTGGGGTGGCTGCTGCACTGATGCTATGGGGTATAAGAGCAGCCGAGTCTCGGTCGTGACTCCGTGCTCGGCACTGGTGGTCTCGGGCAAATCACAAGCCATCGAATTCTAACAATGCAGCTCCGGGCCGCTTGCTCCCTCCTCCTTTCTTTCTTCTGAATGAGCAATGAGAAATCCTTCACCTCAATGACTGCTCAGAGGCAAAGGAGCTAGCTGTCAGGGATGGATTGGGATGATAATTCAGCTGCTGTTCCTCCATCCCCGAGCAGGGTGTGTGTGTGTTTGCTAGCGGCTCGATTCTCCGATGGAGAATGTCTGAGCATGCCGGGGGAGACGAGTCCGTGGCACTGCCACAGTGCCACCCTCTTGGTCCACCTGGCAATACCTCCTTGTGGCACATTTTTCAAAAAGGAAATGTGTGTGGGGTTGGCTGGGGTAGGGGGTGAGTTGATCTTGCATTAATGCTAGTGGAACTACTCTTGAGCATTTGCACGTTTCATGCAGTTAAATGCAGCTGCTTGTTGACCAACAGCTTGCTGCGAGGAGCTGAGCAGATGAGCATGTTCAAGACTGTAAAACCCCAGTTTGGTGGAGGGATGCGTCGCTTTTCCTGTGAAGAGGACAACATCTATGAGAACATAGAGAGCGAGCTCTGCTTTTTTACCTCACAGGTTAGAAGACCAAACCTCCTTCCCAACATGTTTAAATAAAACAGCTAAAATCTACACACACACACACACGCACACACACACACACACACACACACACACACACACACACACACACACACACACACACACACACACACACACACACACACACACACACACACACACACACACACACACACACACACACACACACATTTATAGTACTCGATGTGTTATATGTACACTGCTTAGCATAAATGGGTACGCCCCTTTAAAAAGTGTGAACAAAAGAACAATTTCCTGATTTTTCACAAGTCTGGGTTTCATTCAACTCTACAACATTAAATTAAGGTTAATAACATTACTTACTTACTTAGATCACATAATTATCAGTTTCACTAAAATTGGGTTGGCTTTTTGTTAGCCCCGAGACTCTCTGCCTGTGTGTTGGGGTTTACCCCGGGGGACAAGAGGGTAGCTTCCCTGTGCCTTCGGGTCGGGGAACGGGTCCTGACTGTTGTTTGTGCTTATGGGCCAAATATCAGTTCAGAGTACCCACCCTTTTTGGAGTCCCTGGGACGAGTGCTAGATAGTGCTCCATCAGGGGACTCCATTGTCCTGCTGGGGGACTTCAATGCTCACGTGGGCAATGACAGCTTGACCTGGAGGGGTGTGATTGGGAGGAACGGCCCACCTAATCTGAACTCGAGCGGTGTTTTGTTATTGGACTTCTGTGCAAGCCGCAGTTTGGCCATAACGAACACCATGTTCGAACATAAGGATGCCCACCGGTACACTTGGTACCAGGGCAGCCTAGGTCACAGGTCGATGATAGATTTTGTAGTCGTATCATCTGACCTGCGGCCGTATGTTTTGGACACCCGAGTGAAGAGAGGGGCGGAGCTGTCAACTGATCACCACCTGGTGGTGAGTTGGATCAGATGGCAAGGGAACATGCCGCGTAGACCTGGCAGACCCAAACGCATAGTGAGGGTCTGCTGGGAACGCCTGGCAGAAGAACCTGTCAAGACGGTCTTCAACTCCCACCTCCGGCAGAGCTTTGACCGTGTCCCGAGAGCAGTGGGGGACATTGAGTCCGAGTGGGCCTTGTTCCACTCTGCGATTGTCGAGGCGGCTGTTGCTAGCTGTGGTCGTAAGGTGGCCGGTGCCAGTCGTGGTGGCAACCCCCGTACCTGCTGGTGGACACCAGAGGTTCGGGGAGCCGTCAGGCTGAAGAAGGAGGCCTACAGGGCATGGCTGGTCTGTGGGTCTCCAGAGGCAGCAGACAGGTACCGGATAGCCAAGCGGGGTGCAGCAGTGGCAGTTGCCGAGGCAAAATCTCGGGCGTGGGAGGAGTTTGGTGAGGCCATGGAGAAAGACTATCGATCGGCTCCAAAGAGGTTCTGGCAAACTGTCCGGCGCCTCAGGAGAGGAAGGCAGCAACTCGCTCACACTGTTTACAGTGGGGATGGGGGGCTGCTGACGTCAACTGGGGCTATAGTCGGACGGTGGAAGGAATACTTTGAGGAGCTCCTCAATCCCACCAATGCGCATTCCGAGGAGGAACCAGAACTGGGAGGCCTGGGGATGGACTGTCCGATCTCGGGGGCAGAAGTTGCTGAGGTAGTCAAACAACTACACAGCGGCGGAGCCCCAGGGGGGGATGAGGTTCGTCCTGGGTATCTCAAGGCTATGGATGTTGTAGGGCTGTCATGGTTGACACGTCTCTACAACATTGCGTGGTCATTGGGGGCAGTTCCTAGGGAGTGGCAGACCGGGGTGGTGGTCCCCATCTTTAAGAAGGGTGACCTGAGGGTGTGTTCCAACTATAGGGGGATCACACTCCTCAGCCAACCTGGAAAGGTCTACGCCAAGGTACTGGAGAGGAGGGTCTGATCGATAGTTGAATCTCAGATAGAGGAGGAGCAATGTGGTTTTCGTCCTGGCCGTGGAACTGTGGACCAGCTCTATACCCTTGCAAGGGTGATGGAGGGGGCATGGGAGTTTGCCCAACCAATCCACATGTGCTTTGTGGATTTGGAGAAGGCTTATGACCGTGTCCCCAGGGGCACCCTGTGGGGGACGCTCCAGGAGTATGGGGTGGGTGGCTTTCTGTTAAGGGCCATTCAGTCCCTTTACCAGAGGAGCGTGAGTTTGGTCCGCATAGCCGGTAGTAAGTCGGACCTGTTCCCAGTGAGAGTTGGACTCTGCCAGGGCTGCCCTTTGTCACCGGTTCTGTTCATCACTTTTATGGACAGAATTTCTAGACGCAGCCGTGGTGTGGAGTGTGTCGAGTTTGGTGGCAGGAGAATCTCGTCTCTGCTTTTTGCGGATGATGTGGTCCTCCTAGCTTCATCCAGCTCTGACCTTCAGCTCTTGCTGGGTAGGTTCGCAGCCGAATGTGAAGCGGCTGGGATGAGGATCAGCACCTCCAAATCTGAGACCATGGTTCTCGACCGGAAAAGGGTGGCTTGCCACCTCCGGGTCGGGGGAGAGGTCCTACCTCAAGTGGAGGAGTTTAAGTATCTCGGGGTCTTGTTCACGAGTGAGGGTAGGAGGGATCGGGAGATCGACAGGCGGATTGGTTCGGCGTCTGCAGTGATGCGGACGCTGAGCCGATCTGTCGTGGGGAAGAGGGAGCTGAGCCAGAAAGCCAGGCTCTCGATTTACCGGTCGATCTACGTCCCAATCCTCACCTATGGTCATGAGCTTTGGGTAATGACCGAAAGAACGAGATCGCGGATACAAGCGGCCGAAATGAGTTTCCTCCGTAGGGTGGCCGGGCTCAGCCTTAGAGATAGGGTGAGGAGCTCGGACATTCGGGAGGGACTCGGAGTAGAACCGCTGCTCCTCCGGATTGAAAGGAGCCAGTTGAGGTGGTTTGGGCATCTGGTCAGGATGCCTCCTGGACGCCTCCCCGGGGAGGTGTTTCGGGCATGTCCTGCCGGCAGAAGGCCCCCGGGTCGACCCAGGACACGTTGGAGAGGTTACATCTCCAATCTGGTCCGGGAACGCCTTGGGGTCCTGCCGGAGGAGCTGGTGGACAAGGCCGGGGAGAGGACGGCCTGGAGCTCCCTAGTTGGGATGCTGCCCCCGCGACCCGGACCCGGATAAGCGGAGGAAGACGAGACGAGACGAGACTAAAATTGGTTAGGGCAAAAAGGAATTAATTTATATATACAAATCCTTCACTTCACTTTCCGTCCCTTCCCTGTCACTGCCGGCATCCCCCAAGGCTCTGTTCTCGGTCAACTTCTTTTCATCACTTACCTTCTTCCCCAGGGAAACATTTTCCGTAAAGTTGACATCCATTTTCTTTGTTACGCAGATGAATCCCAGCTCTATGTATCCTCCAAACCCCCCTCTTCACTCCCTCCTTCCTCCCTCACCAATTGTTTATCTGAAATCAAAGACTGGTTCACCTCAAACTTAACAGTGGTATAACAGAAATGTTACTTTTCGGCACAAAATCCTTAATATCCAAAATCCACAGCTTTAAACTTCCTGTCAACAACTCCTCATGCTTGGTTTATGCTTGGCGCATTCACTTTCCTCGCGGTGGTGCGGCTCGCGGATGGAACGCGCTTCACAACTCGCAGCGTTTATGGTTCATGCGGCTCGTCTCTGCGGTGAGCCAATATTCTCCCAAACTGTAGGGGGCAACATGGAGCTCTACAGCATGCATCCAACACTACACCATAGTAGAAGTAGAAATGACTGTTGTTTACAACATGGCATTCCAGCATTTTTAACAGCGTCCTCGTCTTTTCCGACAGTGCGAGCTATTTCTCTCCAAGAATTATTAACAACATGTTGATCACGGTGATCTCTGAGAGCTGAATCATACAAATGTCTGTATTTACCAACCTCTGCCATACTAGTTCTTGCCAGTCCGCCATGTTTTTCTGCATTCGACCGTCCGCGTGGTAAGAAAATTTCCTAGGTGCGCGGTGCAGAAAGTTTGGGCCGTGCGGAGGCGCGGTGGAGGGGCGTGGTTGTTAAAATGATGCAATTTTGCCGCGCGGAGCTGTGCGGACCTCACGGACGCGTCAAGCATAAACCAAGCTTTAGTTTGCCCCTCCCCTCTGGTCAAGAGACTGGGTGTCATCCTCGACCCCTCACTATCCTTCCAGTCCCACATAAACAATATTACCCGGTCTGCCTACTTCCATCCACGCAACATTAATTGCCTCCGCCCCTCCGTCACTACTCACTTGGTCGCCATCCTTGTCCACAGCCTCATCACTTCCAGCCACTTCCTTCCTTTGTTGCCTCGCAGCATGAAGGTTGCAGGTTCGAAACTCGGCTGCGGCCTTTCTGCGTGGAGTTGCGTGTTCTCCCCATGCATGCGTGGGTTTCCTCCGGGTACTCCGGTTTCCCCCACAGATCATAACATGCCCTATAGGTTATAAACTGTAAGTCGCTTTGGATAAAAGCGTCTGCTAAATAAATAAACATAAACATAAACTTCCTGAATTGACTACCGCAACTCTCTTCTCTTCGGTCTTCCTCACAAATCCCTCCATAAACTCCAACTTCTCCAGAACTTGGCAGCCCGCATCATTACCAGACCCCCCACCCCTGTATCTCTTGGACCTCCTTCATCCTTCAACCTCCACCCGTTCCCTCAGGTCCTCCTCCTCCATCCACCTCTCTGTCCCACCTGTCCGTCTGGTCACCATGGGGAGCAGGGCCTTCAGTCGCTCTGCTCCCCAGCTCTGGAACTCACTCCCCCCCGACCTCCGTAACATTGACTCCCTCACTCTCTTGAAAACCAGACTCAAAACCCACCTGTTCCGTCTAGCATTCCAATAATTACTCTCTTTGCTCCAATATGTCTGTCTGTTTTATGCTGTTCTGTCTCATTGTTGTGTATTTTATCTCCGTCTGTAAAGTGTCCTTGGGTGTTTAAAAAGGCGCTGTTGAAATAAAATGTATTATTATTATTATGAGTATAGCTACACTGAAGTATACAAATCTAAATGTGTCCATTCTTCCTGTTGTAAAACAGACGCAGCCCTTTAGGAAAGAAAATATCATTTCTACAGCGCCTCTCAAGATAATAATCAGTTCAGAGTAAAAGTGGGGCGGGTTCTCCTAGCTAAGGTCTCAGTGTCCCTATGATGGCAGAATCGTAAGCATCCTTCTAAACACACGTCGTGTATCACTGTGCAGGTAGAGCCCAGGTAGGAACACTAATAAACATTTAAATGAATTCATGACATTTTCCCATCAAAGGGGCACCTTGGACAGGAATCTCTTGATCCCAGTTCAGCGGTGGTAGCTGACTTCTGTTTTATTTCAATCTGAAATACATGAACGCATCAAAATCTAGATTTACCTTTGCATTTATATATTTCAACCTGAATCCACTTATCTATATTTAACTTAATTGTTTGATTAGATATGGAAATATCAAAACATACAGTATAATTTCTTAAATAAATGTGATGGAAAAGTGACTTAGAACCCCATTTTTGTTGTTTATGAGTAGATGAATGTGAATAAATGTAGTTATTAGTTTTAGTATGACTTTATAGTTAGCACTCCACAGTTTCACCGGCTTGTATGGAAACATTCTGTGGAGCCTCTCTATGGTTGCAAAAGTGGAAGGTTATTCTGACGCTCATATGTCTGTATTTGTGTTCAGGAGCGCCAAAGCATCATTAAGTACTGGCTGGACAATCTGCGTGCCAAACATGGGGATGTGCTTCATAACATCCACTTCTTGGAGGGTCAGCCAATCGGTACGTGGCTTTAGGCATTTTAGAATTTCTTAAAGAGCAAGTAAATTGAGAAACCATTTTCACTTCCTTTTGAAAAGGATCGGTCTCTCTGTGTTTAACATGCAGGCTCAACGAGAAAATAGTCTTCTATTCTAATCTCCTGTATTAGTTTCTGATACACTCAAAAAATAAAAAACCAGACAGATTTACGTCACACTTTGTTACTGGAGACAACTGCAGATGGTTTAAAAATAGTGGTAAAGTTAACCGGTTCTGAAATTGTGCATCCGACATGACCGGAACGCTAATAGCGATGTAAGCCCAGAGTTCACTGATTGACCCACGTAGACAAAGTTAACACAAATTTCTTTTAAGCCTTTCAGCAGAATCACCAGCCCGTTATTAGGAAACACAGACCAACACCGCAAAAATAGTATAGAACTGGCAAAAGAACTAAAGGAGATTTCAATAGAAGACAACGACATACTCATCTCACATGACGTCACATCCCTGTTCACAAAAACACCAACCCAAAAAACCATAGACATAGTAGTTAACAGAATCAGACAAGACAAGACTTTACACAAAAGGACAAACCTCACAGCAGACGACATAGCACAACTGATAGCACTGGTAGCTAACTCCACTTACTTCACATACGACGACACAATATACAAACAACTGGAAGGCTTCACCATGGGTAACCCGTTATCAGCCACCCTGTGCCAGTTTTTCATGGATGACCTGGAACAGAAAGCCATAGCCACTGCCCACCCCCCCCCACCCCCCCCCCCACCCCCCAACTGCTAAATAAAACTATGGAAACGCTACGTAGACGACATACTGGAAATCATATCAAAAGGACAAACAGGAACACTAACACAACACTTGAATAACATTGACGACACGGGCAGCATAAAGTTCACTTATGAGTCAGAAACAGAAGGCAGCATAGCATTTATGGACATGAAAATCACCAGACAGACCGACGGGACCCTAAACATAAACACATACAGGAAACCAACACACACACACACCAAGACTCATTATGGACATCAGAACACCCCACCATTCGTGAGAAAATGATGTCAAAGCAGGTGATTGGGTGAGTGAAAACCATGTGACAGTTCACGCTGACAACGGGATGATTCTAGCGTGTGAAGCCCTTTGAGCTGCAGATCAGAACGACACAGCGTCTGTGTCTGAATGAAAAAACGCTTTTCTTATTTGTGCATTTTGGTTGTTTTTTGCAAACTCATTAGCAGAACCACGCAGCGCTCTGGGACATGTTGCATGTGTGAGATATAAGTGTAACTCCTCCGGTTTAATATGCAAAAAAGATTTTCGTTCTATCTTATATAGTTTCAGTTTTACAAGCATTTGAACATAGGGATGCAAATGTCAATGCCAGCGCTCCCGCCAGTCTTAAAGGGTCAACATCAATAGTTTGTAGTTCTCTATTGTTCCCGCCGGAGATCACGTTCTGACGAAGCCATCAGGATTACATTATTTGCAAAAAGCAGAGACCCGAACACACCCTCCTCTCCAGAACTCTAAATAGACTTTAATAGGGAGCCTCAGGAGTGTGATCCTCCTGTTGTTGGAACACTATTTACGGTCCACCCCAAAGCCAGCTCAGTGGCCTAGTGGTAGAGTGTCCGCCCTGAGACTGGGACATCAGGGTTCGATTCCTGGTCGGTTCATACCAAAGACTTAGAAAAAATGGGACCCAATGCCTCCCTGCTTGACACTCAGCGTTACGGGGTTGGATTGGGGGGTTAAACCACCAAATGGTTCCCGAGCGCGGCCGTGTCTGCAGCTCACCGCTCCCCCAGGGGATGGGTCAAATGCGGAGAACAAATTTCACACACACATCAGTGTGTGTGACAACTAATGGGACTTTAACTTTAACTCTAACCCAATCAAGCTTGTGATTGGTCGGGACACCGCTTTCATCAACAGCACTGACATTGCACCCTCAAAAACATACAGAAAGCCAAAGATATCAAGCGGCAAACATGGAGCAGCTTGAGGAGTACCTCACAGATGAACTCACAAAATATGCATTTTATTCACCTGTGGCTGGATGACTAGAAAGATATGCAGCAAATGTTTTATGCATGGATGGAAATGATGGGAAGCGCAGGTTTAGAGGTGGTGAGTGCATGAAGAGGTGGAGGAGAATGAGGGACAACTATGTGCGTGTTAAAAAGTCTCTGAAATACAGAAAACACAATATAAACACAGTACTAAATGCACTGTTTTGTACCGGATTCATGACAGGATACCCCAGAGCAGTGCTACGCCCTCTGTTGTCCTGGTGGGGAATTTCTTTGCAACACTTCCCAGAAGAAGTCCAAGGGCACAACGTCTCTGTCAATACTTGTGTGTCTCTCCCATGTGGAGCTGACACAGAAGCATAAACCGCCTTTCCACTGAGATGCATGTTGACCACCTCAGTAACCTCAGTACCAGAGATTGGAGGGCCCAACCCAAAGTACCCGGACTTTGATTCCTCACTGCAAAACATGCCAGTAGAATTGAGGAGGTCTTCAAAGTACTACACCCACCGATTCACAACATCAAGTCGAGGTCAGCAGGACACTATATCCACTGTGGACAGTGTTGGGAGCATACTGCTTTCCCCTCCAGATATGCCGAATGGTGAACCAGAATCTCCTCTAAGCCATGCAGAAATCTTGCTCCATGGTCTCACCAAACTCCTCCCACCCCCGGGTTTTTGCCTCTGTGACCACCCGATCTGCATTTTGCTTGGAATGCTGTACCCAACAGCTGCCTCCGAAGTCCCACAAGCCAGAAAGATTTGATAGGATTCTTTCTTGGGGCAACGGTTACACAGGAGTTAAGTGCTCGCCTCGCAATCGGAAGGTCGTAGGTTCGAGACCCGCTCAGTCTGTTGCTGTCGTTGTGTCCTTGAGCAAGACACTTAACCCACCTTGCCTGCTGGTGGTGGTCGGAGGGACCGGTGGCGCCAGTGCTCGGCAGCCTCGCCTCTGTCAGTGCGCCCCAGGGCAGCTGTGGCTACATCGTAGCTCATCCCCACCAGTGTGTGAATGTGTGTGTGAATGGGTGAATGACTGATTGTGTTGTAAAGCACCTTGGGGGGTTCCAGGACTCTAGAAGGCGCTATATCAAATACAGGCCATTTACCATTCTTCGGCTTGACTGCATCCCAAGCACCGGTATCCACCAGCGGGTTTGTGGGTTGCCACCACAACAGGCACCAATGACCCTGCAGCTGCAGTTCCGGGCGGCCACCTCTACAATGAAGACACGGAACATGACCCACTCAGTCTCAGCGTCCCCCGCCTCCCTTTTTGGAAGTTCTGTCGAAGGTGGGAATTAAAGTTTCTTCTGACAGGAGATTCTGGCAGACATTCCTAGCTGACCCTCACAATATATTTGGGCCTGACAGGTCTGACTGGCATCCTCCCCACCATCGGACTCAACTCACCAGTAGTCAGCTCACATTCCCTCCTTTCTCTTTGCCCGAGATTACAACAAAGTTAATCATTGAGCCTTAGGTATCCTGGTGGCATATGGACATCTTTATTTCTGAACATGGTGTTCATTATGACCCTGGTAAGGTCTGTTTGGCGCATAAGCACAAACATCAGTCAGGACCCATCTCCCCCACACGTAAGAGGAAGAAGGCTACTGTCTCATTCACCGGGGTAAACCTTGACGTACAGGCAACAAGATGGTGGGCAACTAGTATGCCCACCCCTGCTTGGCGCCTCTCAGTGGAGGCAGTGGAGGAGCTGTGCTTGGATTTAAGTGTGGAGGAGGGGACGTAGCAGCGAATAGTGAGGGTGCTATTCCATGGACTGTTAAGTTACAGTGCTAAACAGTAGTAAGTGGATATTGCTGTGTAACCAGGCGCTGATATGACAGGAGTTGTTGGCTCAGTTGTCCCCTATGATGAGTCCGTAGAGCAATGGAGCTGTTACACGGAGCATTTTGACTATTTTGTGGAGGCTAAAAGCATTGAGAATGAGAAAATAGTCCCCACGTTTTTGAGCAGTGGTGGGCAGTCAGGGCCAGCAAAGCCTTCTCTGCTGGCCTAAACTTACTCAAAAACGTAAGTGTATTTTTTTTCCTTTGGTAAATATTTTTTCAATAAAAATATGTTCACTGGTCAATTTTCTTTTTATCCTATTATACCCACTTGGTTGCGCTGCTTCCAGTGTTGAAATACCAAGGTTGGGTGTTATCCAATCAGATTTAAGCTAGCTTGTGTTTTCAGGCAGATTAAGTCTGCTCTAGGCCTTCAGACTCAATCGAGAAGCCCGCTGTCCGCTGTAAGTGAACAGAGACGAGCCAGTTGCGATAGCCAATCAGCTCACGAGTCAGCTTGGCCCAGGCCAGCTAGCTGGCCTCACGCAAAAGCTGACATGAACGCATCCTGTGATTGGATAAGCAGTAGTTAGAACTTCTCTAGCAGCATTAAGCAAAATATCAAAACTAAACACGGAGATTTGTACCTATAGGCAGCTATCGGTGTATTTTTGTACAAATGATGGCTGAAAGAGGAGAAGGGACGGACTTGGTGGCAGATTTACTTGCCACACCATTTTCAAGATGGACCTTTCAAGAAAAAATGGATATTGTGAGAACAGGTCATCCGACTCCAACGCTAGCTGGCTTGTCCCAGCAGGGGAAAGGATTTGTTCGTCATTTTCAGGCAAGCAACTATGAACGGTACCCACGGCTAACAGCTTCAGAGAACCGCTGCAGGCTATTCTGCTGGGAATGCCTGTTGCTCGCATCAGATCGATTTGGTATTTGGAGTTTTACTGGATTTGCCAATTTAAGTTGTTTCACCAAGGCAGCAAAGAGACACCAAAGCACGGCTGGCCACTTACAAGCTACGGTGCTTTTAAAAACCTTTGGGGACACCCGAGTGGATCTGCAGCTCAGTGAACAGGCGCGCAAGGACACGGAGCTCCACAACGAAAAGGTGAAGAACACTAGGGAGATATTGAAAAGGCTGATGGATTGTGTCATATTTTTGGGTAAACAAGAACTTTCATTTAGGGGACATGATGAAAACCCCCAGTCATTAAATAGAGGGAATTATGCGGAGCTTCTATCTTTTCTTGCTGAACATGATGCCGACTTGCATTACCACCTGACCACCAACAGGGTCTTTACTGGGACATCAGGCAGAACACAAAATTACCTCATTTATGCTATTGCTGAAGTGATGGGAGATGAGATCAAAATGGAGATCAGAAGAGCCCCTTTTGTCGCCGTCATGGTTGATGAAACCACAGACGTGGGTAACGTGGCACAGCTGGCACTCGTCCTGCGCTATGTGACAGCCACAGGTGTCAAGGAGCGTTTTGTCAAATTTGTGGATGTAACGAGTGGCAGGCGAGCTGATGACCTTGCCGCGCTTATTTTCGGTATTCTTGAGGAATATGAATGCTGTTTGGACAACGTTGTTGCACAGTGTTACGATGGTGCAGCGGTGATGGCATCTGGACTAAACGGGGTGCAGGCTAAAATTAAGGAAAAGGCACCTATGGCCTTATTCATTCACTGTTATGCACATCGTCTTAATTTAGTGCTGACTCAAGGGGCCTCAAAGCTTAAAGAGTGCAAGGTCTTTGTTGCCAATCTGAATGGCCTCGCTGCGTTTTTCTCCAGATCCCCGAAGCGCACACAGTTGCTGGATGATGTGTGCAAACGGCGTCTTCCTCGTGTTGCGCCAACACGGTGGCAATATTCATCAAGACTGGTGAATGCAGTCTTTGAGAATCGAGTTGCTCTAAAGGAGTTGTTTGGTCACATACTGGACCATCACGACGAGTATGATGAGGACACCGTGCTTTCTGCAGATGGATTTAATGCACGGCTGGACGATTTTGAGTTTTGTTTTTTGCTCAACACATTCAATGGGCTTTTTGAGTATGCTGATGTGCTTTTTGGAATACTGCAGACCAAATCATTGGATGTGCAATTCTGCATGGCCAGGCTGAACGAGTTTTGTGACAAAGTTGAGCAAGAGAGGGGCAATTTCAGTGAGATATATGAAGAAGCAATGCGCGCCTCCGGTGGTCCAAGTGTGCACAGAGGCCAACGCACGGCGCAAGGTGATCTCCGTGCACGCTACCAAAAACTCCACAACAGCATTCTGGACAACATTCTTTCCCAGACAAGGAATCTATTTCAGGACCATGAAATGTTGAAGTTTCTCTCCCTTCTTGACCCCCAGCACTTTCAGACATACAGAAAAAAATTCCCGACAGCAGCCTTCTCCAGCTTAACAAAGAGCCACGGACCACTGTTTGATCTTCCCCGACTTAAAACAGAACTGACTGTAATGTATGCTATGGCTGATTTTGAAGGGAAAAGTCCCGCTGATCTACACGATTTTCTTCTCAGCAAAGACCTGAGTGAGAGTATGGGACAACTTTACGCCCTGGCCTGTTTGGCTGTGACTATCCCGGTGTCCACTGCCTCTGTTGAGCGCTCATTCTCAGCATTAAAGCGCGTAAAAACGTACGCCAGAAACACGACCGGACAGACACGGCTTTCAGCATTAGCCTCCATGTCCATAAAAGGCTCTAGTCATGGACCTGAAGCGCACGGATCAACTGTATGACAGAGCCGTGGAGGTTTTCCTGAGGAAAGAAAGAAGGATGGATTTTATTTTCAAATGAGCAGGAGAGGAGGAGATCCATGCTGGACATTTATGTTGGTGAGTAGAAACATTTTATTAGTATTTTTTTATGCTTTGTCATTTTATTTCGTTAATAATCAAGAAATGGTAACGAAATAAAATGGCTAAATGAAATTATTCTGTTTCTATGCCATTAATGTTGTGTACAACGTGGTGTGTGCAGCTGCGCCAACATTGTTTCGCGGTGCCATTTTCTTCTAAACAAATGCAAATGTTTTTGCTTTACTTATTTATTTTATTGTCTCATCTCTTAAACCTGTCTTTCATTTTTGAGATTTGACAGTATCTGTGGTCTTAGCTTCCTACCCTCAATTGGGAATGCGAGTTTGATTTCAAAGGCTCCGGAAATTACATGTCTTGACCAGCCACTTGTGTGTGTGCGCGCGCGCGTGTGTGTGTGTGTGTGTGTGTGTGTGTGAGAGAGAGAGAGAGAGAGAGAGAGAGAGAGAGAGAGAGAGAGAGAGAGAGAGAGAGAGAGAGAGAGAGAGAGAGAGAGAGAGAGAGAGAGAGAGAGAGAGAGAGAGAGAGAGAGAGAGAGAGAGAGTGAAAGAGAGAGGTTTCTCCAGCTGTGATGTCATATTGATGGTATTTTAAGGTGTATTAATTTAGATTGGATTGAATAGGAAATCACCGAAGGCGCAGGGGTGGAATGCACCGCCCGCCACTGTTTTTGAGTGTGATCGGACCAAAGACATTCACACTGCTTCGTGACCTGTTACAACCTGCGAATCCTGGCAGTAAAACGTACAAAGGAATAGTGGACAACCTAAATCAGCATTTTTCACCCAAGCCCTCGGTGATTGCTGAAAGATTTAGGTTCTATTGGCGGGTTTTCACAGCATCTGTCTGCATTCCTTCCTTCGTGGGGGTTGTTGTTGTTGGCATCTTGAAGGCTGCCATGGCGTCAGATTTGGATAACAAGACTTTGTTTGGGTCAGGCAGAGATAATTTTGCTCTCTGCCTTCAGTCTGTAATTGGTCATTCCAGTCCTTCAGTGAAGCCAATTTAGGTTTTAAACATCTCCACACCGTCCGTTGACCCTCTCCGAGATGACATCCAAATTGGTCAAAAGTGAAGTTGTGGATTCAGTTTCCACCGGTGAATGGGCCACTCCCATTGTACCAGTACACAAGAAGGATGGGGGAACACGAATATGTGGAGACTTCAAAGTAACAGTGAACCCGGTGCTAGCTGCAGAAAAATATCCACCGCCCTTACTTGATGATCTGTTTGAAGGACTAAGCGGAGGACAAAAGTTCAGCAAAATAGACCTCAATCTGGCTTACCTGCAAATGTGTGTGGATGAACGGTCCCGTGAGCTGTTAACAATAAACACACACAAAGGACTCTTTAGGTACTGCAGGTTACCGTTTAGCATTACATCAGCTCCAGCACTGTTTCAGCGAGCAATGGATCAGCTCCTCAGTGGGTTGCCAGGAGTACAGTGCTACTTGGACAGCATTCTTTGGACAGGAGCAAACGATGAAGAGCAGCTGCACAGACTTGGATGCCACTCTTCAAAGACTACAGGACTACGGCCTCAGGGTACGCAAGGAAAAATGTGAGTTTTTGGAACCATCTGTTGAGTACCTAGGCCATGTGATCAATGCGAAAGGCTTACACACTGCATCATCCAAGATAGCAGCTACCGCCTGAGAATGTGAGCCAGCTCAGATCTTTCCTAGGACTATTAAACTATTATGGAAGGTTCATACCAAACCTTGCATCATTGCTGAAACCGTTACATGAGCTTTTATGTCAAAACAAGAAATGGAAATGGAGCAATGATTGTCAAAAAGCATTTCAAAAAGCTAAAGATGTTCTGGTCACATTAGAGGTTCTCACGCATTTTATCCCAGCACTGCCGATTAAACTGGCCTGCGATGCGTTGCCCTACGGGGTCAGGGCTGTCATCTCACATGTACTTCCCAATGGAGAGGACAGTCCAATTGCATTTGCTTCAAGAACCCTGAGAAAAGCAGAGGCTAACTATGCTCAACTGGAACGAGAGGCATTGAGCATTGTTTTCAGGGTGGAGAACGTTTCATCATTATCTCTATGGCAGGAAGTTCATGTTACTGATGGACCACAGACCTCTCACTACAATCCTGGGTCTGCAAACAGGGATTCCATCACTTGCGGCGTCCCGCCTTCAGAGGTGGAACCAGACAGAACCTGACACAGTTGTTTCCAGTTCAGAAACAACAACAGAGACTGACACAGCTGTGCCTGAGCCCAGTCCACCGGAACCGGAAGCTAGTGTTCCCGTGGCTCAGCGTTATTTAAAACGTGAAAGGTGACCCCCACCACGTTTAAATTTATAAGTCTAGTTAATGACTAAGTGTAACTGGTGACTATGTTCTGAGTTGTAGAAAGTAGACTTGGCGATCCTAAGTTGACTGTTTATCACAAGATGTTATGTTATTATTTAGGATGGGTTTCTCATGTAAGGGGGGAGAAGATGTTATGCATTTGGCCATTGAAGCCACCGTAGTGACATATGACGCAGACGCATCAAGGTTGTAGAAGAGAAGCCACGTTGTGTAATGTACCAAATCCGATGATACATGATTAAATGTTCATATACAACCCCTATAGCGCCTTATCATTGCACTTACCTGAAATAATGGTAGAAGATATAACACCCTTGACCATGGTACGGTGGCAGTCCAGGGAGGTGTAGACAAGTGTACTATAGTTTTTAAGTTAACAGTAAACGAGCAACGCCATAACTGAAACAGGTTATGGAGTTGGCCAAGAGCTGTGGGGCAGAGTATATTGAGGGAATGTGAATGGTTAAATCTCTCAATAAGAGTCTTCTAGTTCAAAAGTGGAGGAAACAAAACTCCCAATCAGTATTAGTCCTCAGCCAAAATAACGTCTTTGCATACTTTCCTTAAACACAAATTCATCGTCCTGAGCCCGAGCGTTCCCCAGTTGGGGGCTGAAAGCATTTAGCATCATACTTTATGCCCTAAATACTGTATAAATAAATATCATAAAGCTGTATCTCTAAACCAAATACAGAGCCTGGGCTATTAGAACATATGAACCTTTTTATGTGCTCCAAACACAACTAAAATTTAAACCAAAGAAGGCGTTACTGCGAGGGTGGTGCACCGGCGCTGCCAACAAATAAAATTCAGCCACTTATTTCATGTTGTCTTGTTCAGTTCCAGAGCTGGTTGCTCGAGGGGTGATCCATCAGATGTTTCCTCTTCATGAACAAAGAATACTCAACCAGCTGATGACATCCTGGGTCCAAGCTGTCTGTGAAAGGCAGCCGCTTGGTAGGAAACATTACATTTTCATTTAATAACAGGATATACTGAAACCTAGTCCAGCATCTGGCATCCGTCCCACTCTGTGTGACTTTACTGAAGCTACTGAAAGGGTTCTGGGACCACATTACCATAGTGTGATAGTCATCAAAACGTGATTGTGGCTGAGGAAATAAGTACAAGCCCCGTAACAGGAGTGTTGCAGGTTCACCCCAGGCTCAATCTGTCTCAGCCGTGGGCAAGACCTGAAAGCTGTTTCAACTGTTATCCATTTTGTTGTAGATGATATATGTGACTACTTTGGAGTGAAGATTGGTATGTATTTTGCCTGGCTGGGTTTCTACACCAACTCCTTGCTCTATCCTGCTGTCATTGGCTTCCTGCTCTGGATCCTGGCAGAAGCAGATCAGGTAATAAACCTTTACTAAATGAATCTTGCTGAGACGTTTCTCCTCTATCCTCAAAGATTAAAGGAACTTTATAATGCTATTTTAAACCTTTCCGAGAAAGGATAACCCTCCCTGGGCTGCCACCTTACGCTGAGCAGACACTGTGTGACTTTTTCACTCGTAGCGTTCAGCTTCAGCTCAAACTGAGCGACTTCCTTGCGGAGCAAATCTCATGGGTCCTGTGCTCACACTGTACAACCCAGTTCTCGGATGCAACCAGACTGCTCACACTTCAGGGATTCCCTTAGCTATCACCGTAGTAAACAACCACAAAACCAGATGAACTTGTTTACCCAAACCACACATTTACTGTTTTGATATTGATCATGTGCACTAACATATATATGTGCTGTTTGTGTTTACTCAATATGCTAAAATTCTGCTTACAATAGTCACGTGCACAGAACCCAACTAATACAATGCTGCTACTCTGTGTATATATTTTGTATATGCTTCTCCCTGGGCTGCCACCTTACCGTAGTGGAGGGGTTTGAGTGTCTCAATGATCCTAGGAGCTAATGTTGTCTGAGAGTTTCTGCCTCTGGTAGGGTCACCCATGGCAAACAGGTCCTAGGTGAGGGATCAGACCTCTTATGATGAATTATATAAATGGAAACCGTGTTCTCTCGCCTGGACGTGGGTCACCGGGGCCCCCTTCTGGAACCAGGCCTGGAGGTGGGGCACATTGGCGAGCACCTAGTGGCCGGGCTTTCACCCATGGAGCCCGGCCGGGCACAACCCGGAGAGGAAATGTGGGTCCCCCTTCCCATGGGCTCACCACTCGTGGGAGGGGCCAAAGGGGTCGGGTGCAGTGTGTGACGGGTGGTAGTCGAGGGCGGGGACCTTAGCGGTCTGATCCTCGGCTACAGAAGCTGGCTCTTGGCACATGGAATGTCACCTCTCTGGTGGGGGAGGAGCCTGAGTTGGTGTGTGAGGTTGAGAGGTTCCGACTTGATATAGTCGGACTCACCTCAACACATGGCTCTGGCTCTGGAACCAGTTTCCTTGAGAGGGGTTGGACTTTCTACCACTCTGGAGTTGCTCCCACTGAGAGGCGCCGAGCAGGGGTGGGCATACTAGTTGCCCCCCTTCTTGGTACCTGTACATTGGGGTTTACCCCAGTGAATGAGAGGGTAGCCTCCCTCCGACTACGTGTGGGGGGATGGGTTCTGACTGTGGTCTGTGCTTATGCACCAAACTACAGTTCAGACTACCCACCCTTTTTGGAGACCTTGGAGGGGGTGCTGGAGAGCGCTCCTTCCGGTGACTCCCTCGTTCTGCTGGGGGACTTTAACTCTCTCGTGGGCAACGACAGTGAGACCTAGAGAGGTGTGATTGGGAGGAACGGCCCCCTTGATCTGAATTCGAGTGGTGTTTTGTTATTGGACTTCTGTGCCAGTCATGGATTGTCAATAATGAACACCGTGTTCAGACATAAAGGTGTCCATGTGTGCTCTTGGCACCAGGATACCTTAGGCCACAGCTTGATGATCGCCTTTGTTGTTGTTTCATCTGACCTGCGGCCGCATGTCTTGGACGCTCGGGTGAAGAGAGGGGAGGAGCTGTCAACTGTTCACTACCTGCTACCTGCTATCTCTACCCTGCCTTTTACATTGAAACTGCTTGAGAAAGTCAGCAGCTGGTCTCACATTTAGCTGACTCTGATCTGTTTGAGGTCTTCCAATCAGGGTTCAGGTCTGGCCGTAGCGCAGAGTCGGCTCTACTGAGGGTCTTGAATGATATCTATCTATCACTAGATCAGGGTACATCTGTGGTGCTTCTGTTGTTAGATCTGATGGCAGCTTTTGACACGGTTGACCACGTGATTCTGCTTGATCGCTTGGAACGATGGGTTGGGATCAAAGGGTCTCCTCTGGATTGGTTTAGATCGTATCTCCACAACAAGACATTCTGTGTTACGCTGGGCAGACACTGTGCGACTTTTTCATTCGTGGTACTCAGCTTCAGCTCAAACTGTACAACTTCCTCGCAGGGCAGATCTCACGAGCCATGTGCTCACACTGTACGACCCAGTTCTCGGATGCGACCTGACTGCTCACATTGTACGTCTGGTAGCAACACGTCGGACCTAAAAATATGCTAAAAATTGCACAGCACGTTAGACTTTGTTGTTTTGCCTGTTGTCCTTCGAGAGTGCTGCAGGAGGACACACAGGGATTTATGGGGGTTGGATGAGGAAAATGAAATAAAGGAAGTAAATCTGTGTTTTGTGATCAGTTTGACATGAACACGACAAACACGCTTTGTTGACAATCTTTGTGAGTAAAAAAACGTGTAGAAATAAAAACGAACAACGTGTGTTATTAGGGAAATAGCGGGCGAGCGGTGTTGATGCATGATTGCGCATGCGCCGTGAGCGATTCTGATACTTTTTGGGTCGCAGCTGGTCGTAGCGCCGCTTCAACAGTGCGATACTCTCACGAGGGACGAGCAAAATATCAAACACGCCAGAAGTCCGTGCGAGCTCACGATTGCTGATCGGTAGCTGGTCATGTGGTGTTAATTGCCTCTCGTAACCCCCTGTACACTACACTCAGCGCAAAACTCACCCCGATCTTGTGGATTCTCGCACGAGTGGAAAATCGGCTCAAAAATGTGAAAAAGTTGCACAGTGTACGCCCGGTTTTAAACTAGGTGATGTTTTTTCTTCTTGGGAGGGGCTCCACTGAGGGGTCCCGCAGGGATCGATCCTTGGTCCTCTTTTGTTTGCCATTTATTAGCTTCCTCTGGGGTCAGTCTTTCGTAAACATGGCCTAGTGTTCCATCCCTATGCTGACGATTGCCAGATTTACTCTCCATTGTGTCAAGAGAAAGATCTCTCTACACAGTCCTTTGTGTCTGGTCTCAACGAGGTGAAGTCTTGACTAATGGCCAACTATCTGCATCTGAATGAGGGAAAGACAGAGCTCATTGTTCTTCACCCCAGCAGCAGGGCTGTGGGTCGTTATGTTGATCTTGGCCCTTTTTCTCCCTACTCAAAACCAGTTGTCACCAGTTTGGGGGTGAAAATTGACGCTGGACATTTGATGCTCACATCAACTCTGTGATCGGTCCAGTTTCTTTCACCTGAGACGCCTTGCAAAAATCAAGCCTATGCTGTCGAGAGCCCACCTGGAGTGGGTAGTCTGTGCTTTTGTAATTTCTAGGCTTGATTACTGCAACCCTCTATGTGCCGGACTGGGTCAATCATGTCTGCACTGCCCACAGGTTGTGCAGAACAGTGCAGCCAGGTTTCTGACTGGGACCAGGAAACGGGACAACATCAGTCCGGTTCTGGCCTCTCTGCACTGGCTTCCAGTCTGTTATCGTTTACACTTTAAACTCCTCATCTTTGTTTACAATTGCTTCCAGGGTAGTGCTCCCCCTATCTGGCCACGCCCCTGAACAGACATTCCCCATCACACGCTCTGTGCTCCTCTGACCAAGGCCTGCTCGCTGTCCTTCATTCTAGGTGTCGTACTCGAGGGGACCAGGCTTTCTCTGTCTTAGCCCCGTCACTCTGGAACCACTTGCCACCCTCAGTCCAGCTATCCCCATCTCTGCCAGCCTTTAAGAGTCACCTAAAAACCTACCTCCTCCGCTTGGCGTTCCCTGGATGTGTTTGAGTTTGGCCTTCACTTATGTTGATTTTAATTCCCTGCTTTCATTTGTCTCTTTATCTCTTGTTTTACCCATTTGTTTTCTACTTTAATGGTTTTACCTGTTTTTCTCATGTACCGTGTTCAGCGCCTTGGGCTTCCCGACAGGGAATTAAATAAAGCTTTAATTGATTGATTGATTGATTGACCTGGTGATGAGTTGGCTCAGATGGTGGGGAGGATGCTGGTCAGACCAGGCAGGCCCATACATATTGCGAGGGTCTGCTGTGAAGGTCTGGCAGAGTCTCCTGTCAGAAGGAGCTTCAATTCCCACCTCTGACAGAACTTCCAAAATGTTCCGGGGGAGGCGGGGGACATTGAGTCCGAATGGACCCTGTTCTGTGCCTCCATTGTTGAGGCGGCCGACCGGAGCTGTGGTCGCAGGATCGTCGGTGCCTGTCGTGGTTGCAGTGCACTACCAACACTATCTATAGTGGGGACGGTGTGCTGCTGACCTCTACTCAGGACGTTGTGGATCGGTGGGCAGAATACTTCGAAGACCTCCTCAATCCCACCGACACGTCTTCCAGTGAGGAAGCAGAGTCTGGGGACTTTGGGTTGGCCTCTCAAATCTCTGGTGCTGAGGCCACTGAGGTGGTTAAAATGCTGCTCTGTGGCAAGGCTCCAGGGGTGGAAGAGATCCGCCCAGAGTTCCTTAAGGCTCTGGGTGTTGTGGGGCTGTGTTGGCTGACTCGACTCTGCAATATTGCGTGGACATCAGAGGCTGTCCGACTGGACTGGCAGACCGGGGTGGTGGTCCCCTTATTTAAAAAGGGGGACCGCAGGGTGTGTTCCAACTACAGGGGGGTCACACTCCTGAGCCTTCCTGGTAAGGTCTATTCAGGGTTCTGGAGAGGAGGGTCCATCGGATTGTTGAACCTCAGATTCAAGAAGAGCAACGTTGTTTTCGTCCTGGCCGTGGAACACTGGACCAGCTCTATACCCTTAGGGGGATCCTGGAGGGTGTGTGGGAATTTGCCCAACCAGTCTACATGTGTTTTGTGGATTTGGAGAAGGCGTTTTACCGCGTCCCTCAAGAGGCCCTGTGGGGGGTATTCCGGGAATATGGGGTACCAGGCCCTCTGATATGTGCTGTTAGGTCCCTGAATGACCGGTGTCAGTGCGTGGTCCGCATTGCCGGCAGTAAAGCCTGATTCATGCTTCTCCATCAGCTCCAACAGGGAGAGACACGCACGCACGGACGGAGACATTTTGTCCTCATACTTCTCCGTCTCCTGGGGAGTGTTGCAAAGCAATTCCCCGCCAGGACAACAGAGGGCGTAGCGCTGTCTGTGGTATCCTGTCATGTATCCGGTCCAAGATAGTGTGTTTATATTGTGTTTTTTGTATATAAGAGACTTTTTTAACACGGACAAATTTGTCTCTCATTCTCCTCCACCTCTTCTTGGGCTCGCCACCTCTAATCCCACGTTTCGTGTCATTTCCGTCCACAAATAAAATGCCTGCTGCGCATCTTTTCACTCCTCCAGTCACGGGGGAATTAAACATTCATATTTTTAGAGTTTTTTTGCGACGTATTATTCAAGCTTCTCCGTGTCTGCTGCTAGTTATCCTCGGCTCTCTTTATGTTTTTGAGGGCACAATGGCGGCGGTGAAGACGACAGCGGTACCCTGACCAATCACAAGCTTGCGTTCTCCGTCTCGACAGACGGATGTTTAAAAAAGAGAGCTCGACTCCGTACATCCTTGCGGGGCTCTCCAGCAGGCCCGCAAGGACGGATAATGGCGTTGCGTGTCTCCGCACTGACGCAGACGCAGAAGCATAAATCAGGCTTAAGTCGGGCTTGTTCCCAGTGAGAGTAACCTTCATGGACAGGATTTCTAGGCGCAGCCAAGGTGTGGAGGGCATGCGTTTTGGTGGCCTGAGAATCAGGTATCTGCTTTTTGCAGATGATGTGGTCATGTTGGCTTCATCAGAACGTGATCTTCAGCTTTCGCTGGAGCGGTTCGCAGCCCAGTGTGAAGCAGCTTGGATGAGAATCAGCTCCTCTAAATCTGAGACCATGGTCTTGATTCGGAAAAGGGTAGAATGCCTTCTCCGGGTCAGGGATGAGGTCCTGCCCCAAGTGGTGGAGTTTAAGTATCTCAGGGTCTTGTTCACGAGTGAGGGAAAACTGAAGCATGAGATCGATAGGTGGATTGGTGCTGCATCTGCAGTGATGCGGGCGTTGTAGCGGTCTGTCGTGGTGAAGAGAGAGCTGAGTCAGAAGGCGAAGCTCTCGATTTACCGGTCGAGCTACGTTCCTACCCTCACCTATGGTCATGAGCTTTGGGTAGTGACCGAAAGAACGAGATCACGGATACAAGCGGCCGAAATGAGTTTTCTCTGCAAGGCGGCTGGGCTCTCCCTTAGAGATAGGGTGAGAAGCTCGGTCATTCGGGAGGGGCTCGGAGTAGACTTGCTGCTCCTCCACATTGAGATGAGGCAGTTGAGGTGGCTCGGGCATCTGGTCTCGGTCAACCGGGAGGAGACCTAAAGGTAGACCCAGGACACGGTGGAGGGACTATGTCTCTCACCTGGCCAGGGAACGCCTTGGGATTCCCCCGGAAGAGCTGGCCCAAGTGGCTGGGAGAGGGAAGTCTGGGCCTCTCGCCTTGGGCTGCTGCCCCCGCACCCCGACTCCGTATAAGCGGATGAAAATGGATTGATGGAAGA